GGATGTGAAGGACCTAGACACTGACCTATAGATTGTTGTATGTGTTCTCCAAGACAAGACCAGGCGAGACCCGAGGCAACTCAAATTTTTATCTTTATTTCTGCCAGATGGCTGGTGTTCTAATGTTATTCTACGTAATACATTGAACATTGCCATTATCTGTGCACTGTTCCATCCTTGCTGTCAGTAATTCCCCTTCAGTATTCATATCTTACCTCCTCTATTAAATACTTAGTGAGCTTAACTATATCTCTCATACCACTTAAACGTGTAGTACATTAAAATTTAAATAAGTAGAGTAATATTTATTAAATTACTACGAATTCTGTCATAGCTTATGCTTTCATATTATTTCACTATATATACATGGTTAGAGGATTTTGAGAGATGTAAACAGGTTAAATTCTCAGGAAGAGGAAACTGGATTTTTGAAAATTTCTTACTCAACTTATCAACCCATGGCACAGAGTTATGTAGAGTCAGAGATCTATGTTCTGTGTCATTAAATTTCTTTTCTAGTCTTGCTCAAATTCTTTTTCCACTGAAATGTCATTTTATACCAGAGGCCAAAGTGCATTCGTGTAATCATCTTTATCTTATTGTTTACTGCTCCAGAATCATTCTCTTGTTTGCTACGGAAAAACAGTCATCTTGCTACTTCTTGTGTCCCAGAAGAGAATTAGTATGTTTTCTTCTTGGAGTATCCCTGTGGACTTCAAGAAGAGCTTGAGCACCTGGTATAAGAGTCCAAATGCTCTGGTCATGGCATATCTTAACTGAGAGAGCAGTTCATTTCCCAGGTAAGAGGAAAGGGTTTTCATCACTAAAAAGTATCAGATATTGTAATCTTGAATCTCGAATGAGATTATATGCTTTAATATTTAAATCTGAGATAGAAATTTCTAGTTAACTTAGACTTGAATTAACAATTGAATGAGAATTCCAGGGAAATAGCAGGAATAATAAGAAAGATAACATATTTACGTTAATAGATTTATAAAAATTTGATTTAATTTCCTTGATGGACAATAGTAGAATAAAGGTAGTAGAAATAAGAGACTATATTTCACATTTAGGAAAATTAACTGAAGAGAAAATTAACTACCAACCAACCATTGGATATATGCCATTTTGAAATCATAACTTTTTTCTCATGAAAGCATATAAATGAATTTTAAATGTATTTTACTCGGTAGCGAATTGATCTAGAAGCTACTTTAATTTGTTTTTAAAATATATATAATGGTCTACTTAAGCTTGTGGCTTTGTAAAAGAATTCAGTTACATGAGAATGTTATTTTGTGTTGTTTCTAAGGGATAACATTTCCAAATTGATGGCATGTCACAGTGAGTCTGTGATACGGCCAAGTGAAAAGAGCTTAGTTTGGAGACAGAGAAACCTGGACTTGAATCCTGGCTCTGCTAGTAATTAGGTGACCTTGGTCAAGTTACAGTTCATGCTGGTTCATATGATAATGTACACACATTTTCTAACACCTAGGAGCTATTAATAACACGTCTTAGCTGCTATCATAGCTTTCCTTCATGGCAAGCTTAGTGTTTGTATTACAGTTTTCAGGGATGTATGGTGCTTTATGTCCTCTGACTGTATGAGATTTGAGGAAGTCATTGGATTTTAGTTTTCCAGAATGATCATGTTTGGGTAAGTTTTGAAATCTAATATGTGCTTTCTAATTTCTGTCTCTTAAAATGAAGTTAGTTAGATGTAAACACATTCAGTTCTAATGTCCTTAATTATTAGCTGACAGAAAACCTGTTTGAAGAGCATCTTCAATGAAGTAGATGGACCCCAAGCATTTTGTCTATCACTCCTCCAGTTCCCTACAGTGAGGTAGGTAATTGCTCTAATGGGACATAGTTTGGATTAAAATATACCTTCATTCATAAACCACCTTCTTGCACTACAGATAAAATCAGAGAAATCAAGAGTTATGAGAAAGTTACTGTGGTCAAAATTATCAGAAGAATTTATACAAACATATTATTTTACTGTTATGCCCAGAGTCAAAGTGCAATGACAGAAATGTATTTTTAAGATTTTTTTTTAGGTTCTTGATACCGTAAATATTGGGATTCACTGGGTTTAATCTCATGAGAAAAGTATTTAAATATATCTTAAGAGTCATATCACAAACGTGTATAATTAAAAGAATAATACTTACTTCTGATCTGATGTTCATTCATTGATCAATGCTCTGAAGAAGAAACTGTTTTCTAACTCCCTACTCATATTTTATAGTTAATAAAATTTGGAAGTCATATATCATACAGATGTATCCTTCACGTATAACTAAAACACTTTAATAAACATTTTAATCCATTTCATAAATAAGTGCTCTGCAGTCACACCATGTTCACGTAGTTGAACAAGATATGCCTGAAAATTTGGTTAATCTGAGTTCTTCTATGGTTTGGAAAGAAAAGTTTACTTTTTCAAGGTTACACTGTCATGAGGTGCTAAATCTGAGATTTTAATACAGGGTTTTAGAGTACAAATATAATGTTCTTAATCTTCCACAATTGTATTATCTCAGACACATCAACTGAGTAAAAATTAGAGCTGTAACGTTGCTGAAATTTCTCCTGTGTATTACAGTCAACATGGATTTTGTAGTGGACACCTTTAGTAGACTACAGATTAGTGTAATTTTCTAAAGTTGCTTGCATATGTTTTTGTTGTTTTCGCTGTGCTTCTTCTGATCTGCCTAATTCCTGTTTTGTCCCTAAGTCGCTTTCATAAGTATTTTTTTGTGTGTAACCCGTGGATGAGAGAGAGAGAGAGAGAATGGAGGGACACAGAGAATGAGAAAATTGTTAAACAGAAATAAATTCCTTGTGATGCCCCCAAAATACATCAATACATATTTATATTATCAATTGATTATTTTATGTTATTTTATTAATGTAACTACTCAAACTAAACTGAAAATTATTATAAGACATTTGTGTGTTCTCAGGAGTACTGTGAGTTGACTGCATTTACACAGAAGTTGAAATTTAGCTTATTGGCATATATTTTTTCTTCTTCAAAATATTACAGATGTCTCTTTTTCTCCCCAATGACCCGTTCCACCCCGTCCCACCCCCTCCCAGTCCCTCTCCCCACCGTTGTCCGTGTCCTTGGGTTGTGCATATGTGCATATAAGTTCTTTGGTTACTCTCTCCCCCTCCACCTACCTGCCCCCTCCATCCTTCTGACATTTGTTAGTCTCATCTATGCTTCCATGTCACTGAATCATTTCTGCCATCAGTTTATTAAGTTCTTTAGATTCCACATATAAGTGAGATCATGTGATATTTGTCTTTCGCTGCCTGGCTTATTTCACTTAGCAGAATACTCTCCAGGTCCATCCATGCCGTCCCAAAGGGTACGAGATCCTTCGTTACAGCTGCATAGTATTCCGTGGTGTAAATGTCTTAATCATATTTTTTTAACTCAAGGATTAAGTGAGCATTTTGTTCATGGCATTGGTATCCCCACATTTGAAAAGCTGTTTATCTCTGTATTTAAAAAGTCTTCCACATATGTCTGGGAAGACAATTCTGGGAAAATAAAGACATGTAGCTTTCTTCTTTATAAGAATAGGCTTAAGCAGATCTTCTCATTTCTTCCTGATGTATGAACATCTCAATATGACAAACATGTAGTGTTTTTCATGTCACAAATATAAATCCTTGGTATGTCCTTTGCCCTATGCATTGCAGGTTTTTCACTCCTCCAGTCTGTGACACACTGAAGGAAAAACAAGAATTACAGTCTGAAATCTTGCTCCTAAGTATGGTAGATGCAATATTTTATTTTGTTTAAATCATGAAGCCTCTCAGTCTAGATACAGGTGACTCTTCAACTTTTTTTATATACTTTCCTTTTTTCATATTTCACTAACTGAGTGAGAAACAGTCTGGAGGCATAGGAAAATAATACCAGAAATAAAATGCCACTTGGTGGCTTATATTGTAAGTATACTCTTTTAACAATATTTTCTCTAAATTATATACATCTATTATTGGGTAATTTTTCTTTTATAATAATTTTAGTGACTCCTTAAGAAACTACAATATATTAAAGGAATGACCACCATTTATTTTGATGTACATAAGTCTTAAAAATACACCAGAGGATTTTGTAAGTATAATAAGTATATAAATAGAAAAAAATTACATCGACATTAAATTAGATTTGGAAAAACATTAACAGTATAATACATTGTGTAGGCTTAAACAGGCAACTTGATGATAGGTGTATCAGAAAAGAAAACTGAAAAACAAAATAAATACTCATAATTTGCATACAAGGTGCATCCAGAATTATATCTGTTGACTCCGTTCACCAGCGTTCTGGAAGGGCTGGTGGCAGGGGGACTAGCCACGGGGAGGTCATCAAGGGTTTGCTTGGGAAAAGTTGCCCCATGCAACAAGGTGAGATGTAAATATAACTTAGCCCATTTTCTAGTCATCTGAGGGCAATTTAAAAATAAATAACTTTTACATTGTTTTTCTCATTTACATACAATTCTCACTTATACACAATCTTGTCATATAAGCGTGGTTGCTTTCGTTTTAACAGTTGTAATTATTAAGGAAGGGCATTTCATGCACACTGCAGAAAACTTAGAGTTAGTATTCAGATGTGTACTTTCTATTATAATATTTGAGGACAAACATTTCTATATTTATTTGTCTTTGTAAATTTTAAGATAATGGGATATGAAACTAGGTGGTAGTAAATTTAACAGAGAATAAATTAGAAATTAAACCACATGAATTGACATATTTTTTAACACGACGAATTTAGCCAACCATTTAATAAAATTTTCTTTAATTTAACAGGGTAATGCATTCATTGGCTCCAGCTTCTTCATTACTGCTTAGTCGTTCATAGCCAAGGATTTCAATACGCCCTTCTAAGAAATAAGTAAGAAGATATGATAGGGTGGATTCTATTTCCAAAAATACTGCTTTAAAATCTATAAATAAAAATGAAAATGTCACAGTCGACCTCAGACTTAGACGTACACAGGATTCAGTCGAAAAATGTGACTGAGGTCACTGTGTTTATACTGATGGGCTTCACAAATAATTTTGAGATGCAAGTCTTCCTGTTTTTGCTATTTCTAGAAATCTATCTGTTTACTCTGGTAGGAAATTTGGGGATGGTTTTGTTGGTCAGTAGGGACTCCCGGCTCCACAACCCTATGTACTATTTTATTAGTGTGTTATCGTTCTTGGACGCCTGTTATTCTTCCGTTGTCACCCCAAAGATGTTGGTCAGTTTCCTGGAAGAGAAAAAGGCCATTTCGTACGTTGGGTGCGCGGCACAAATGTTTCTCTTTGTTNTTTCCTCGGTAATTACACCAAATATGTTAGTAGATCTCCTTTCAAAGAATAAAGTCATTTCATTCCTTGAGTGTGCAACTCAGATGTTTTTCGCTGTGGCTTTTGGGACCACGGAATGCTTCCTCCTGGCCGCGATGGCCTACGATCGCTACGTAGCCATCTACAACCCCCTCCTGTATTCAGTGAGCATGTCACCCAGGGTCTGCGTGTCCCTCGTCGCCGCTTCCTATGTTGGTGGCCTTTTGCATGCCTCTGTGCACACGGCGGCCACATTTAGCCTGTCCTTCTGCGCTTCCAATGAAATTAGGCACGTCTTCTGTGACATCCCCCCCCTCCTTGCCATCTCTTGCTCCGACACCCACACCAACCAGCTGCTGCTCTTTTACTTCGTGGGCTCTATTGAGACGGTCACCATCCTGGTCGTGCTGGTGTCCTACGGCTTCATCCTGCTGGCCATTCTGAGGGTGCATTCCGGCGACGGCAGGAGGAAAGTCTTCTCTACGTGCGGCTCCCACCTCGCCGGAGTGGCCATTTATCACGGGACCATCCTCTTCATGTACGTGAGGCCCAGCTCCAGCTACGCTTTGGACCACGACATGATAGTGTCGTTGTTCTATACCGTGGTGATTCCCATGCTGAACCCCGTCATCTACAGCCTGAGGAACAGAGACGTGAAAGAGGCAATGAAGCGAGTGCTGGGGAGAAGCGGGTGTGGGAGTAAAGGATAGTTTCACCCTAAACACTAAATTAAAACAAATTAAGACTAATGTTCATTGTTTTAATAGCAAAAAATGAGAAAATTTATTAATTTTAGTATGTTAATGTCCTTCTGTTCTTCTCAGACCTTTTTATATAAAGATCATAGTCACACCTCCACCTGTGCCGTTTCCACACATGCAGGAAAACTATGACATCCGTTTGCTTCTCAATTCATTCTCAGATGCGCACACACACACACACACACACACACACACACACACTGATACTGATGGTATGATTTTGTCAGGGCTGCCATAGCAAAGCACCACAGACTGGTGGCTTAAACAGCAGAAATTTATTCTTCACCATTCTGGAATCTAGGAATCTTAGATAAAATTAAAGGCAGGGCTGATTTTTCTGAGGCCCTTTTCCGTCCCTTGTAGGCAGCCACCTTCTCCCTCTCCCTTCACATCATCTTTTCCCTGAGTATTTCTGTGACTTTGCTCCTGTTCTTATAAAGACACCAANATTCTGGAATCTAGGAATCTTAGATAAAATTAAAGGCAGGGCTGATTTTTTCTGAGGCCCTTTTCCATCCCTTGTAGGCAGCCACCTTCTCCCTCTCTCTTCACATCATCTTTTCTCTGAGCATTTCTGTGACTTTGCTCCTGTTCTTATAAAGACACCAGTCATATTGGATTAAGGGCCAAACTAAAAACCTCATGTTAATTTAATCATTTTTATAAAGAGCCTATCACCAAATACAGTCACATTTTGAGGTCAGAATATTAACATGAATATTGGTATACAGTACATATGTATTTACACACACAGTCACTGATGCACTTAATCTTTGCTTTAAAATGTATAAGATAGACNATATGTATTTACACACACAGTCACTGATGCACTTAATCTTTGCTTTAAAACGTGTAAGATAGACTTTCATCTCCTATTACTCAAATAGGATAGGTTCCAATCACTGCAATTGTTATTTACAAATGATAGCTGACTGCCTTGAGAAAATACCACTCACTCAATGGCACAACCTCAGCTCACATANACATATGTATTTACACACACAGTCACTGATGCACTTAATCTTTGCTTTAAAATGTATAAGATAGACTTTCCAGACCGCTTTCCATGGAATCATTGGTTTAGACTCCAGTTGAAAGCACTGTGCTCCATCCTTGGATCTATGTCTTGGCAGCAATGTGTAGCTCAGAGACCACAGGTGCGCTTAAATTTCTGGTGTCATCACTATGCTGATTTATTTCTCTCCCTTTCATTATTTCATCCAGAGCATGAATACAAAACCCATTCTTTAATCGCTCACAGAATAGAGACTATGCATTGGCACTTATGAAGATGACACTTACACTCCAAAATGACAAAAGACAAGCACAATTCAGAGAGTCGGTACTTGGTGGGCAGGTTGAGCGATTTCCACACCTGAGCCCCAGCCCATCTTTATGAATTAAAAAAAGCACACAGACTTGTACAACATATTTGCTTCAACAGCTATCCAATAGGAAACCTGTATTTAGAATATATAAACGAAGGACTGTTTCCCTGAGAGATAAACAAGCCAGGTGAACTACGATGACCCATCCTTCCTGTCTGAAGGGAGTTGCTAGGCCACACCGCCAAACGGGCAATACCTAGAAGAGGCAGAGTTGACAGTCGAGTAAAACCAGGGAGCTAGAGCTCACAAGACAGGGTACCAATGACAAGGAGCTTCACAGAGAAAGGAAAGTGGGCATCTGCAGGTAATCCTCAGTTACTCAATCGAGGACAGAGCAGCCCAGGAAAGTGGGAACCACCTAAGGCTAAGGAAAGAATCAAACAAAGGGATTAAAGACAGGAGTGCCCAGAACTCAAACAGAGGCAGGAATTGAGCCAACCTGTTACACAGAGAGTAGAAAAACTCCTAGTTCTTGGGGTTTTATGTAGAGTAAACAAGAAGGTCTTACTCTAGTAGAGGAAAATAACCCCAGTCTTTGCTCTTGAAAGACCTTCAGCTGATTGAGTGAGGCCCACCCACCTTCTGGAGGGTAATTGGCTGTACTCAAAGGCTATTGATTTTAAGTGTTAACCATGCCTAAAAAAATCTTCTCAACAACATCTAGACTGATTTTTGACCAAAGAACTGGACACCCTAACCTAGCCACTAGACATGAAAATTAACCATCAAATCAGACAAAAAAGAGAAATCGAGTCAAGAGTAAAGGGTAAGAATGTAACAGAAAAACAAACAAGTAAATCCGGCTCCCTGATGAACACAATTAGTAAGTCCCCACCCTAGTATTTCTGTTAAACTTTCCAATTCTTCAGGGACAACTAAGAAATTGCTCGGCATACCTTCAGGGAGCGGATCAGAGAGTGGAGAAAAATCTATAAATCTCACTCACTATTTCATGTCATGAAGCACGCACGAGGAAAGCAAGAGAGTGGTTTCGTTGCAGGTAAATAGAATATTTTATGTGGCGCCAGATTATACCAATATCCAAATAGTGTGGGTGACATTTGCAAGATAACGCCTTCACTCTATGGCAAACAAAACCAAAATATCGGGGTTTCTGATTGGCTTCTGTGCTATTTTGCTGTTCTGAATGCACGAGCAAACTAGAACCGCTCTCCTTTCAACTCAGATTAATTCTTCAAATATTTTCACAGATGCTAAAAAAATATCTTTGAAATGCTAGTGCCATACTGCTTACATACAATTTATGTTTCATGTAAATACTTAATCATATGAAAAACAGAAGACAAAACCCAGAGACAAGAAACCTGACAGAAGAGTCAGGAATGGAAAGCTAAAAACTCTGGCAGAATTACAGGCCCGAAGGTCTTCAGTGTCTAGTTTGATGTCCTTCTAAATCCTTAGTCATTTAGTGACTCTAGGCTCTTGTTCTCAAAGATACAGTAATAATTTATGAATATACAAATCAATGCCTAAATGTAAAATTTTTCTGATAATCTTGATGAGCAAAAAGGGTGTTTCCACCTTATATTGAGATCTGAAAAGCAATTTTTGGGTGGTAGAAGTTTTTTATGTTTTATGGTGATGGTACAATGCACACTGTGTTCCATTTCCAGTGAAATCTGTCAGAAATCACATATAATTTTCTCACCAAGTATAGCGTCAAAAAATAATAATCTGATAATCAACACAGACAGAAAACTATAAAAAACTAACTTGGTGCTTTCTATAGAAGCCTAAAACTCGTGAGAGGAAGCCCTTCTACCTTCCCTTATCTTACAGGAAAATCAGCACCTACCAATGTAATATGTTTTCTTTAGCTTTCATTGCACTTTAGTAAAACTTATTTTGCTTCTTAGTCTATTTATTTAAAATTTTTTCTTAACAGTAGTTCAGTATTTCTGACATAAAATGGAATGTACATGGGAACAGGATAGGATGTCAAAGGCTCACAATCTTATAAGCAATGTTTTATGGGGGGGAAATATGGATATCCTGTAAACACACTTAAAATTTCATGCTTTAAATTCTGTATTTTTCTATTGGCTTTTTTATACCTAGTTCAGTGACCCCTGATCCTATTTTTATTGGAGCCATGATCAATTGTATTTCTTTTTTTTTTAAAGAAAGCATATATACCATTTTTTGAACTATTATTTATTTAACCGTAGAAGCCATCCTCATTTTACTCTGGCATTACTCTGATATTTTTAAATTGATGGCTTATCAGGGCTATTTCTCTACGTCTTTGTTTCATTATAATTATTTATGTCTGCATTAAAAGCTTTTTTATACTATGAGGGACTCCCTTGTGGCCTTAATGTGCACGCAGACTTAAACTAACATTAGGGAATCTATATTTATATTTTGAAATTTATCTTGCCAATATACTGTTGTGTGATATAGTGAATTTACATGTTTTTTCAGTAGAGAATGTCTTCATCCAAAAGAAGTGTTTATAAAAGTTCATTACATAAAACCAATTTCAGTGACCTTCCTGTCTCTGTTTGCTGTTTCCTCAGGTTCCTCATACTAGTCTAGGTTTCACCGCGACAAAATGTACCTTTTATGTTACAAACAACATAATGTATGCCAATTATAATGCACCTGGGGAAAAGGAAACGTGTTACGTTTTAGGTGAATTTTTATGTAAAGGGGAGAAAATTGGAGACATCTGTAATACTGTCAACAATAAAGTAAATTTAAAAAATGTTTTAAGTAAGGTAGAATATCCTAATAACACATTTATGTTCCAGTTGTAGTCATGGAGATGGGACATGGTGGAAGGGGACAGGGGCTCACTGGGGACAGTTACCTGGATAACAGACTGCTCAGTCTCTTTATTAGCACACTCCAGACAAAGAAGTTAAGTCACACATAAAGAATTTATATATACTAAATATAATCCATTTTAGCAACATACTGTCTACACTTAAAAATAAAAATACCCATAAAATAAGCCATATATACTTATATTAGAGGAAAATTTCCAAGTACTATAAACCTATTGAAACATTTAATTCTCACTTACCTTCCCAATAGTGCTATAAGGAACAGTTGATGTTGCTGATGTGTATAGAAATTTAGAAAACTTACATCGTTTGCCCAAAGTACTCCTTTGTATATGCCACAAATATAAGTATAACAGAGACTATATCTACGTATGTACATTTTTATACACAGATAAATAATATCAACTATGACCTTTTAGAGTTTCCATAAGGTACACATTTGTCCAATATCAGTGGTGTGCTAATTTGTCTTCCTGTACCACCTGCAGGCATAACAACTTTCAAAGAATTTTTTTTTTAAATTTGACCACAAAGTTTAATAATATTTATTTTGAACCCTTTAAAATTAACAGCTGTGTATTATAAATGAAATTGCAATATCTATATTACAGAATACTTACAAATATTTGAATATAAGATTCTGAAACAAACATTAATAAATGGCATCTGAAATTATTGCAGGCATTACTTTAGTAGGACAAGTCAAAGATGAGTTTTAGTAAACTAAATCAAAGGAATATGTTTTAAAGGAGGGCATTCTAAATGTTTCTACACATAATTGGAATTTGGATTTTAAAAATTCTATTATGTAATTAACAGATGAATTATGTCACAAAATGTGATTGCAATTTGGCAAGAACAATCGCATAACTGTCATTGTATAAAGACAACAGAAAAGTTTAACAGTGACCTACAAAACTAATGCCTAAAGTTTTCACCGTTTTACTTCCTTTTTCTATGTTTGTTTCTGTTTATACCGATATTGTTCCATATAACAGCGTCTGCCAGCATTGGGCTTCCTGGCATTCGGGGCTGAACACTTCTTTCTGGGTAAGCACCAGCGCAGCAGGGTAATCAGCGGGCTCGCTGGACCCCACCGCTGTGCGCCCGGAGCACATCTCCTCCGGTGTCACAATCAAAATGCTCCCAATTTTATCGGATGTTTGGAAGGGACAAATTTTCCCCAGTGGAAACCACAAATCTCTTTCTATCTCCAACTCAATCCTTGACTCTGTTCTTATTACTAAATATATATGTTCTACTTGTGGGAAGTGGGTTGTTTTAATATAGCCTAACTGCTATATTTTGACTTATTTTATTTATACCAACTTTGTATACTAAAAAATTACTAGATGATACCACATACAAGCTATTGAACACGTGAATGTCTCCATTCAGGATAGGTTTTCTGATAAAGCCGGATGGACACACAAAACCTAACAGCGCTAAAAGAATTCATTCTGACGGGAGTCACAGACCAGCCTGAGCTGCAGGCCACCTTCTGCGGGGTGTTGCTCTTCGTCTACGGGGTCTCCGTGGTGGGCAACCTGGGCATGGTCATCCTCACCAAGGTGGACTCCAGGCTCCACACGCCCATGTACTTCTTCCTCAGGCACCTGGCTGTCACTGATCTTGGCTATTCAACAGCCGTGGGACCCAAAACGTTGGTAAACATTGTAACTAAACAAAAGACTATCCCCTACGACTGGTGTGCGGCCCAGCTGGCGTTCTTCATCTTGTTCATCATCAGCGAGCTCTTCCTCCTGTCGGCCATGGCCTATGACCGCTATGTGGCCATCTGTAACCCTCTGCTCTACACGGTCATCATGTCGCCAAGGGTGTGCTGGGTGCTGGTAGCAGTCCCCTATCTCTACAGTGCCTTTCTCTCTCTGATAACCACCATAAAGATTTTTATTTCATCTTTCTGTGGCCATAATGTCATTAATCATTTCTACTGCGACAGTCTTCCCTTGTTGACATTGCTCTGCTCGAGCTCCCGTGAGATTGAGTTGATAATACTGATCTTTTCGGTGTTTAATCTGGTTTCGTCTCTCCTGGTGGTCCTTGTGTCCTACACGCTGATCCTCCTGGCCGTCCTCAGGATGAGCTCTGCAGAGGGCAGGCACAAGGCCTTCTCCACCTGCGGCTCTCACCTGACAGTGGTGCTTGTGCTGTATGCGACGCTGTTCTTCATGTATGTGCAGCCCAAGTCCAGTCACTCCTTCGACAGTGATAAAATGGCCTCTGTGTTTTACACTTTGATCATCCCCATGCTGAATCCCTTGATCTACAGCTTGAGAAACAAAGAAGTGAAAGGTGCCCTGCATAGGGTATGGGAAAATCTGAGCAAACGCCCCAGAAAAAGGTTAATATAGAATTTATATGCCATAAATTAGGTTACAGAAGCTGTTTATGATTTATGATAGGCCTTAGAAAGCAGTGATGTGTAAAAGGCATGGGAAACTAGAAATATTTTTCTTGTTTTCAACTTATAGGTGTTCGAGTAGTGATTGTCCTCTGATTTGTCCTCAGGTTTTACTGTAAGAGACTGAAGCCCTGAGAACTGTTCTTACATTGCCAAGTCCTTAGTAACTTGTGTCTTGCACACCATGAAAATACAGGTGCCCATCGTACTGGCTTAGCGACATGTAGAAACGCCAATTACATATATACAGCAATGAATAATACATTAAAAAAATTTGCCTCAATGACACTTTTACGCTGTCTTCTTTTTGCTGGGTGGCATTTCAGATTCCTTTGAAAGCAAATGCAAACAGGTATCTGCTTGGGGAAGTAGGAATAATGGTGTAATTATTTTCAAGTTGCATTACTGTGTACATTAAAAATCCAAAAAAATTCTCAACCTGAAACATTAGAAACAATAAGTGAATTTTGCCAGGTTGGTGGATGTAAGGTCAACATATAAAATGTCAATTTCCTATATACTAGTAAAGAAACATATTAAAATAAAATTTTAAACTACTGATTACTCTGAAATGCACAGTCTCTGTGACTTAATCTTATCCAAGCCTGCTTTGTTCCCAAGGCCTTCAGGCTAATTGCTCCTGCTTTGTCTTGCATATGGACATGCTAATCATTAGAGGAATCCTGCTTGAAGCTGGAGTTTTCCAAAAACAGCACCTCCCATTTCCCCCCATCCCTTGACATAAAAGAAGACTGAACTCTGTATTTTCTTAAGATGGACTTGAGGATTAGGGCACCTATCTTCTCAGTTGGCACCTCCTCAATAATAAAACTTCCCTTACTCCAAACTCTGATGTTTTGAGTTTTGGCTTTTTGAAGTGTTGGACACATGGACTTTGGACCAGTAACAACATGAGCAACAAATCAAGAAAGCAACATCTTAGCCCAGCTGGCATGGCTCAGCTGTTGAGCATCGACCTAGGATCCAGGAGATCAGGGTTCAGTTCCCAGTCAGGGCACATGCCTGGGTCTCGGGCTCCATCCCCAGTGGGGAGGGCTTGCAGGAGGCAGCCGATCAGTGACTCTCTCATCATTGGTGTTTCTCTCTCTCTCTCCCTCTCCCTTTCTGTCTCTGAAATCAATAAAGATCTATTTAAAATAGTAGAACAGTATTTAAACATTTCTACATTGCCACTCATTTGAGGAGACCACTGTGTAAATGCAGACTCTTGATGGGCATGTGTGCTGATGCAATATTTTCGTCAAGAATCCTGTGTGGTACAAATGGAAGGAAGAAAGGAAGGGTGGGAGGGAGGGAGGGAG